CACGGGTTGTTTTGGGGTTTAGGGTTTAGGGTTTAGGGTTTAGGGTTTAGGGTTTAGGGTTTAGGGTTTAGGGTTTAGGGTTTAGGTCATGGCTAGTTACTGGTCATGCCCATACACAGCGAAAACATAGCAAGAGAATCCGCTGTACCACTATATCAGCTCTGTAGTAAGCAACATGCTCACAAGCACAGCAGTAACACACTTGAAAAAACCCTAAACCCTAAANNAAACCCTTAAAAAACCTAAACCCTAAACCCCTAAACCCTAAACCCTACACCCTAAAACCCTTTACTTGAGAGCCTCAAAGCCAAAGCAGCGCAGGTCCTGATCCTCTAATATCCCTTAGTTAAGGAATATACCTGAAATTATAGTAGGATCCTACTATAATTTAAGGTATATTCCTAAACCCTAAACCCTTATAGATCCCTTTAAAGGCCCCTATGATTTAAGGTCTATTCCTTAACTAATGGATATTGGAGTCTCTGGGCAGGTCCTGATCCTCTCCTCCAACGAGCTTGGTCCCGAAGGCTCGGCTTAAAAGGGATCCCTAAAGGGCTTTAAGGGCTCCTTTAAACAGGGATCCTTTAAAAGGGCTCCTTTAAAGGTTAGGGTTTAGGGTTTAGGGGTTTGAGGGCTTGAGGGTTTGAGGTTTTGAGAGTTTAGGATTTAGGGGTTTGAGGGTTTGAGGGTTTGAGGGTTTGAGGGTTTGAGGGTTTGAGGGGTTGAGGGTTCGAGGGTTTAGGGTTTAGGGGCTTGGGGTTTGGGGTTCAGGGGCTTCTTTGTTGTGCTTTCACGGTGGCTGTGCAGGGTCTGTTTTTACTTAGGCTATTTTGTTAGGGTAGTTTATAAGGGTTTGGGGTACTCGGCCTGTGGGGGTATGAGGGAACTGCCGGGGGCTTATATCGCTTGCGTGGACGTCGACGATGCCCAAGAAGGTAATACACGCTCAATACGGCACCCTAAACCCTAAACCCTAAACCCTAAACCTTAAAACCCTGAAGGTTTAGCACCGAAGGGCCTAGACACTGAACCCTGACCCGAAACCCTAGACTCTAAATTGGAAACCATATTATTTACTATAGATCCCTATTATGGTAACTTAAATTAAATCCCTTAACAAGAACCCAGAAAATGTAGACCCTAGACCTTAAACCGTAAAGCCAAGACGCCCTAAGCCGTAAAGTTTACACCCTAGACCGTAAAGCCTAGACGCCCTACACCGTGCTCCCTGGTGTTCCCTGGTGTTCCCTGTACATCGCCTAGAACCGAAGCTCCCAGAAGCTCAGGTGCTGAAACCCCGTGGCAAGCGGCTGTTAGCAATTTCTACCCTCCTGGGTTTAGGGCTTAGGGGTTTAGGGTTTAGGGTTTAGGGAACCCCAAAACCCGAAACCTTCCAAACTTTCATGTGGGATTTCTCCACAGCTGGGCAAGCCCCAGTTGATGCTCCGATGAGTTTTCTGGCCAGGAGGATGGAGTCGCCAAATATCTCCATGCGCACTTACTCTCAGGCTGGCTCGTTAATTTTGATGAGCCCGTCGCTCTCATAAAGCTTCATTTCGTTGCCTTCGGTGGTGCTGTTGCTGTCCTGCAGCTGCAGTTCTTGTTGCTGCTGCCGTTTCTGCTGCTGATGCCGCACCATCAGTGTTGCTATCTTCAGACCCTAAACCCTAAACCCTAAACCCTAAACCCAGAAACCCTAAACCCTAAACCATCGTCGCCACCCTAACTAGCCTCCGCCCCCTGATGACCATAAGGCTGATATCTTCAGTTGCCCGATCTTGCGCCAAATCCGCCTAGATCCCTGAACCCTAAACCAAGGAAGCTCCCAAAAACCCCAACTCCCCTTAAACCCCAACTCCCCTGAAACCCCAACTCCCCTGAAACCCCAACTCCCCTTAAACCCCAACTCCCCTTAAACCCCAACTCCCCTTAAACCCCAACTCCCCTGAAACCTTCCCAAACCCCCTACAAAACCCGCCCAGGCCCCGCTAAAACCCCAAAATCATCCCGGAAGGCGAAAGATCATTGTTGCTAAAGAGCCTCACGCAAGTTACAGCACTGTTTATAGGTCAAGCATAAGTTATGGTTGTACATGGTGCTTATCACACGATGCCCACGCAACCATGGTGTCTGGAATTGGCATCGTTCAGCCCCTGCACCTTACACACTAAACTGAGATCGCCCGCAATGTCCTTGCAGGAGATGTCCTGCAAGGTTGCCTGCTCAGATTTCCAGCCGGTGGGAGAAAGCTTTGACAGCTGTGTGAGTCTGTGTAGATGCATGGCGACGTGACATGATCGCATCGCCCTTTGCTCCAGCACCCCTAGCGATTCATTCGGTGTTTGAGCCCAGCTCCTCACAAATCAGCAAACAGGGATCCCTAGAAAAAGGGTGGGATCCGGTAGGTTGCAGGTACATCTGCAGCTCGGGCATCGAGTTCTGGATGAGAGTGCGGGGGTGAAAGCAGGAGGCCTCTTGAATCTTAGCTCTAGGCCTTTTAGGCCTTTTAGGGTTTAGGGTTTAGGGTAGACTTTTGGGCCGAAGCCTTGTTCCATCATGGGAGGACAGGAAAGGTTCGAACACCGCCAGGCCCTCGAAGGGTTGCATGGCCTCGGCGGCCTGGGCCGCACTCCGGCTGAAGTGGCCTGGGACTGTTACTGGCTGTTCTTGAGGGCAGAAGAGCTGAGCCTTTCCGAGAAACGTAAGGCTGTGGAACTTGTGGTGAGGGCGCTCGAGAGCCACCCAAGCGATGCCGAAGTGCAGATGCGTGCGAGCTGGGCTCTGGCACGATTATGCAAGGACTCCCAGGAGCGCGCTGCGAAGGCCGCGAAGGCGCTCAGGAGACACCCCACCAACCCCACCATGCAAAAAATTTTGTGCAATGCGAGCATTGCGAGCCATGCTCTGAAAATCTTACGCGCGGTTTCCCAGGAGAGCCCACCAACAGATCATGAAGCAGGCGGAGCCCGGCCCAGCCTCCCAGCCCCGACTCCGGAGAGACGCACCGAAGCACCGGTAGCCCAAGATGATTTCGGTTCGCCAGCAGAGTCAGAGGCTGAGGAGAGGCTCAAAGCGGCAATGAAGGGCGGGGATGCCGAAAAGCTGAGCCTCGCAATCCAGGCGGCCAAGGCTGCGAAGGTAAGAGCCGAAGTTCTCGTGGAGGCTCATGAGGCACTCCTCCGGCTGCATAAGGACTCCACAAAAAGCGCGACATCGGCTATGGCTTCGCTGCGACGTCCGCTGAACATGGACAGGTCGGACATCCCGGCGGGCATCCGAATATGCGAGGCCCTCGACGAGATCTACGAATGCTTCCAAACATCAAAAGACGCCACTGGAGACAAGCTCCTAAAGGCTTGCTGCGAGGAGCGGGGGCTTCTCGGATTTACGGTGTGCTTACGGCTGACGCTTACGATCATGCCATCACCGTATCTTTGTTTCTTGTCATCAAAATGCATCGACATGCAACCCTAAACCCTAAACCCTAAACCCTAAACCCCTAAACCCTAAACCCTAAACCCGAAACCCTAAACCCTAAACCCTAAACCCTATTCTCGAAAGTCTGAGCCCTGAAAGTCGAAGCCCTGACCCTCCAGGAGGCACGGCAACCTGCGGCACACACGCGCCTAAAGCAAAGCGTGTTCGGGCTCCTGGAGCCGGAGGAAATCAAGGAGCGGGCCTGCTGTTAAGGGCTCAGGGTGTAGGCGGTGTAGGTTTGGGATTCCGGCAGCCCGATCAGGTTCTGGGCTTATGGCTTAGGGTTTTTGGAAGGCATTTTGGGGTTTCGCGTGGGCGGGGCTGTACAGGATGCTTCTTCTGATGGGCCAGTATCGGGTTCCACAGGTCTACATGCACTTGTGACTATACTTCAAAAACCACCCCCCGATCACGAGATCCCTAGATCCCAAGCCCCAAAGCATATCATACCCTTCTCCAAAAGCCTAAGCCCTGCGCACCGAGCCCTCAATCCTCAAACCGAAACCGCCTAAACCCTTCAAAGCGTCCACAGGAGTTCCTCCTGGCGCCGGACCACCAGATGTGGATGGAGATCAAGGAGAGAACCGAAAGGTTCCTGGGTTCTTGCTGAGAAACTTAGGTTAAGTTAGAGGGATATACAACAGTAGAGAATATTCTGTCCTTTTTGTGGTCACAAAATAGTTCCTCAGGTTTCTGCACCTGCTGGATGAGCCAGGAATACGGGTGCCGTGGAAAGTGCCTAGATGTGAGTCGCGAAGTTTACAATAAATTCATTGGGGTTTCAAGCTTCGGATGTTCTGGTTCAAGGCGTTAGCCCTTGGAGTTCGGCTTTTGGGGTTCGGTGCTTGCTGCCCTGAGCTTGTCAAGGGTTCTTTTGTTTCATGATGTTTCATGCTGCCGGAACGAAGCATGCACACCCTCAACCCTATAAGATGTTGCAGACCTAGCAGCGAAGAACTTCAGCATGCCCAGCGGCCGCACGCAGAGTGCGGCAACGCAGATCTGAAATTAGTCCCAGGTGCAGAGCATCACGCCGGAGTCCGGATGCCATGTCTTGCGGACACTGCGGCCGGTCATCATGGACCAGACAATTCGAGAGCCTGCTACAAACACGCCGTTCGGGCACACCGGCTTCATGAAGTACCTCACCCTTCAAATTATTCGCCGCATGGGCTTCAATGACATCGCTATTACAGGCCAGTACTACGCTTCCTCCTACACTCCCGAGACACAAATCCTGGAGTGGATGAAATACAACGGCGATTCCATGGATGGCATGGTCGCAATGTTTGGGCCGGGGGATCGCGTAGCGGGAATCCATGCCATCCGAAACTTTGATATTCCGAACGCCTTCTTGGACTTGACGCTGAAGGTGGGCGGTCTGCGGTTCTTGTCGGGGCTTCATCATCCAAATAAATTTTCGATATACAAGGTATACAGCATGTAACGGAATAGTATGTACAAATTATAAATGATGGCATACTGGGCAGGTGTTTGCACTGAGTCAAGCCTAGAGCTCCCAGCCACGCTTTGAAAGGGGCCAGGTTCAGGCAATAGGTTTTCGTTGCTCTCAGGGACGAACTCACTGCGTCTGAAGGCCAGCATCCGATTCAAGGATGCAAACTTTGTCGAATCGGTCCTGGAGGCAGTGAACGAGTTGGACAGGATTTTTCGTGAGATGAAGTTGCCAGAAGATCCCTGGCGGAGCGATGCGGAGGTGAACGGTGCCTGGGCCTTCCTAACCTTACACCTTCTTGAGAGAGTCCCAGAACTCAAATCGCGCGGAGCGCCGTTGAATGCCCGAACCCTCACATTCTGAACCGTCAACTTGATTCGGGCCAGGAGGCGTCGGTGGCAAAGGCGAGATATCGCTCAACCTGGTGGACCTTATGGAGTTTCTGGATCTACAGCCGGGTGAGACGCTGGAGGAGAAGAAGCCCTAAACCCTAAAC